TTTAGTCTTTTTTCATTCAATTACTGTTGCATTTTTCACAGGTTTTATTCAAGAACTCAAAAGCATCTAACAGTGAGTGGCTTTTTCTATATATGATAAAGAAAAGAAACTTAATTTTGTACTGCCGAACCTTTCTGGAACAGCTTTGTTCGAAGAGATCGCCATATTTGGTGTATGGTCAGTTAAATGTGTTAGTTCACATGCAACGGAAATGAGAACAAAGTTTTGAGCACATTGCTTTTTTGTGTGCGTAAATGTTGGCCAGAAAACTATTTATGCAGCAGCTATAAGAGCAACGTTTCATCAGACATCGAGGAGTTATTATTAGGTTGACCTTGTCTACTCTTCCCTCTCATGTTTACTCTTTAATTGTGAGTTTGGACCAGTTTGGAACTTATAGAGCTACACAATTTAGAGGTTAAGCCGGCAGTTTTTTTTACCGTATTTTTCAGCCTACGAAATGGCATTAAATGTTGACCCCAATTTAGACAAACGCCACTTAGCTACACAGGAAAATCGACAAGTAGTTACAGCCTATTTCAAATCAAACACTTCGAAAGGTAAAGACACTATGCGACCAATTTTTTTTGTTGAAGATACTGCAGGAGATGTGAAAGAAGATGACGCTGACAATGATGATGGCGAGGATGATGAGAATAGAAGTGATGACGATGATATTGATGACTTTGACGAGGAAAATGACTCTAAATCAGAGGTTAACCACAAGAAGAAAGTAAATGATGAGCCACACAGAAAGAAACAAGGAAAAGAAAAGCGTTGGACACTGCTGAAGATGAATCACCTAAAAAGAAGGTTTGTTTTTATTTTCAGTCCCTCAAATTCATGTCTGGCCTGGCAAAAAGTTGAATGAAAATGGTCCCATATATTTAACAAGCTGACCGAGTTGGAAGAATCGTGAAAAAGTTTTTAGTAACACAAATGTACTTTACAAATGACGTTTTTGCGGCTGTAGCCGTCCTGTTAGCTTAAGCTCCCTAATAGCTTCTTGTCATTGGCTGATATTCGTTGTTCTTTTCTCAGTCAAAGCCTGCTTGTAAATATGGATCAAAATGCTATCAACAGAGCGGGGACCACCGACAGAAATTCAGTCATCCTAAAGTAAGTAAATGAGGTGTGTGAAACGCACTGCCTTTTGCGCCGAGCTGATTTTTTTTACAACAGAAAAAAGCTGCAAATTAATCAATGTAACAATTCATATCAAACCGGATAACTGAACGAAAAAAAAAACAGAAAGAAAGAAGCACGCACAACGTTTCACGCAATACAATATTACTCCAAACAAAACGTTCGACATTCTTTCAAATCAAAAGTATTGTTATTTTTCAAATCAAACTTTAGTTACTAGCAAATTAAATGTACTTTCGTACATCAGTATAGAGAGGTTTTATGACCGGGGCAAAAGCACGGAATCTCTGTTTATTTGATTTTTCGCTTTTTTGTAATTTCGCAGGAAAATGAAGTTGTTGACAGTCCAAGCAAAGGGCAGGTAAGTAAGGCTCGTAATTATTGGAAACATTTATAATTTTTGAGTCAGTTTTGAACTATTTTCAAAACCATTAACTCTGGTAAATTGTTATTCTTTTCGTTTGTTTTGGTAATGTGTATTATAATCTACATTTTCTGTTATGCAAAGAATTTACTTTGACATCCTTTTCATTTTTTACAGCGCTTGAAAGACATCTTTCATGGACTGACAATTTTCCTCTCGAATGACCTTGAAGATCACGCGAAACTCAAAAGATATATTACTGCGTATCCTTTGAAATACCTTTTTGTCTAATTTAATAAAAATTGAGCTAGGAAAACGAATATCGCTTTATTCGACAGCGTGCAGAACAACGCGTTTCTGTGTTTCGTATCCAAAATAGGATTTGTAATGTTCTGAATCCGCACTCAGCTTGAATTCAGCGGATTTAATCCAAATAGGAATCAGCCTCGCAAAGTGAATCAGTGTTTCCTTAGAGAGATATTTGAAGAGAGGAATTTCCGCTTGAAATTTGGCCAGCGGAATGCAAAATGCCCTACCAACCCCTGGTACAGGCTGTAAATCCGTCTTTGGTTTTGCCGTCGTTAACCGTGACCAATTTTCATCCAACATTTACATTGAATCTGAATTCAGAATTTTTGAAAAGCAACGCAGCTTAAGCACCGCCATTGCAATTTTTGCCGCGCTTTTTATCTGCTGCGCTTTGATCATAAGCTTTGATCTATAAAACTGGACAATCCGGTTTTTAACCATTCTTAACGTGACTGAATAGTTATGACGGAGATTTGGCGGAGGAATTTGAAAAGTCCAGTGCAACACATTTTGTAAGCAACAACCGGGTGAGAAGATGAAAAATATTTTGCGCACTTTTACTTTTTGTCATGTCATTAGTGTGGTAAACTTCACTGCGAATGCGAACAGTTTCTTATTTATAAATTTTTGTAGGCCTTTATAGGACCGGACTAGAAACGGGAAGACAAATCGCAAAAATAAAAATGAGACAAAGAAAGAAGAAAGACGGAAGAAGACAAATTTGCAAAGAATAAAGAGGGAAGAAACTCAAAATGCAAGCGTGTATTATGGAAAACATGAAAGCGGGGAATAGACTCCGTACAATCCCCCCCTTCCCTCTCCACCCCTCTTCCCGTGTTCTTTCTCTTCGACATTGGAAGCAACGCTTTGGAGGTGATAAGCTAAAATATTTTATTAGCGATGTAACCAATGCCCGCTGTTCTTATCGTGTCTGCTCTTTCTTTTTTAGGATGGACAAAAGGAGCAAGGATCGACCAAGGTTGTGTCGCCATCATGGATTTGGAAGTGTATTAACAAGGGTCGTCTCGTACCAGTTAATAAATTTCTTGTATAAATTTACAGCACTCGATCACTTTGACGGTTTCAATTCCTTCCAGGATCAACTGCTTGGATAATTACAGAACACCTTGAAGTCTTAAATCGCGCCTCCAAGTGAGGTTGGTCAAAGACCATTCAGAAAAAGAGTTTACCGAGGCTGATGGAATACTTCAATCATTAAAATAAATTTTACGTAATTATAGATTTACCTCGCCAAACGAAAATATGATCGCACGAGTGCACCCCCTCCTAAAAAAATCCTGGATCCGCCCCTGCTCGCATACTCTAAAACAGACCTGATGATACTACATTAGACAAGAATAAGATGCCTATCAGTTAATTAGTCCGCACTTCTTAAGGGCGCGTATTGTATATAACCGCTTACTCCCTTTCTTTACAATATGAGTGACATGCTCGTTTCATGTTAAGTNGTGTATTATGGAAAACATGAAAGCGGGGAATAGACTCCGTACAATCCCCCCCTTCCCTCTCCACCCCTCTTCCCGTGTTCTTTCTCTTCGACATTGGAAGCAACGCTTTGGAGGTGATAAGCTAAAATATTTTATTAGCGATGTAACCAATGCCCGCTGTTCTTATCGTGTCTGCTCTTTCTTTTTTAGGATGGACAAAAGGAGCAAGGATCGACCAAGGTTGTGTCGCCATCATGGATTTGGAAGTGTATTAACAAGGGTCGTCTCGTACCAGTTAATAAATTTCTTGTATAAATTTACAGCACTCGATCACTTTGACGGTTTCAATTCCTTCCAGGATCAACTGCTTGGATAATTACAGAACACCTTGAAGTCTTAAATCGCGCCTCCAAGTGAGGTTGGTCAAAGACCATTCAGAAAAAGAGTTTACCGAGGCTGATGGAATACTTCAATCATTAAAATAAATTTTACGTAATTATAGATTTACCTCGCCAAACGAAAATATGATCGCACGAGTGCACCCCCTCCTAAAAAAATCCTGGATCCGCCCCTGCTCGCATACTCTAAAACAGACCTGATGATACTACATTAGACAAGAATAAGATGCCTATCAGTTAATTAGTCCGCACTTCTTAAGGGCGCGTATTGTATATAACCGCTTACTCCCTTTCTTTACAATATGAGTGACATGCTCGTTTCATGTTAAGTTATCGGACAAGTGAACCCCTAACAGCTTGTAACAGGAAACCTTTTCTATCAGAGAGCTACCAACCAGTAGAGAGGCTGGGGGAAACGGGCAACACTGCAAAAAACTAATGCACATTTCCTTGCATTTTTTACCGTTAAGAACCGTTTCCCTAGAGGAAGCAAACGAGTAAATATCCGAAACAGTAAAATTCAAATATACTTCATTGCTCTTTTAACCACTCAGTGGCCCAAAGGCCAACAGAAACTTAAGATTTAGTAAAAACATTCTACAACTGCCATTTGTTCTGGAGGTTTTTGTTGCACAGTATCAGGGCTGACTTAGCCGAAGGTTGATTAATGTATATATTGCTGGAAACACAAACATTAACGACCTCTATATTGGACAAAATAGACGCAAAATTTATTCGTAAGAGGATGGGGTAACGGCGCGTTTTGGCTCTCGCGTGGCTTTTTTGCTCCTTGAGGACTTGTCAGAAATTAGCAGGGGGGGAGGGGGGGTGTGAATTTTAAATTTGGGTTCGGAAATGAGGTGATACATTCCTGCAATGGAAGTGAAATTTGCTAACCCTCCCCTTGAGCTTGGCCTAAAATATCATGACCCTCCCCCTGTTATATAAATGACAAAATCTAGTTCTTGCGATACACTAGGGTGAGTCAGTATTATGAAAACTCAAAATATATTTCTAACCTGTTCTTTGTAATGCTATATACATACATTTTAGATCACAAATATTAAGAGTCCGACTCTGATTAAGACAGCTGATCACTCGACTCTCCTATTTCTCCCACGTTTTTTTACCAAATAAAGAATTTCCTTTTTCTTCTGTGGGTGAACCTCTATATGATCACGGCCATATATTTGCATGACCCTCCCCCTTTAAACGGCCCATTTTTTATGACCCCTCCCTTTTCTGCGTCCCAAAAAGTTGAGACCCTCCCTCTGTTTCCACACCCCTCCCCCCTGCTCATTTCTGACAAGTCCCTAGCTTATTTTGAGCCAACTGGGAGTTGCTTTCCCAATTTAATCTGTTCAAGGATTGTACGCGTGTGTAACGAGTTGAGTGTACACAAATATTCAAAAAATTTCAGTGGTCCATGCCTTAACATGCCTAGCAAACATTAGGGAGAGAAAGCCCCTTCATTCCTCTTTTTTTCTCTCCCCAACTTTCGCGCGGAATCTCCTGCCGGGACAAGTTACCCATCCTTCAAAGAGCTGATTAACAATTCTCGGAAATACAGGATGTTTTTTATTCTTCGATCAAACCATCAAAACATGTCAAGAAACTCTATTTGATTGGCTAATAATAAAGAGTTTAGTCTGGGTCACAAGACAAGAGTTCATTGTTTATTCGCAAAGGCATTAATTCCCTTCATCGTCACTACACTTAGGTCCACATTTTTAAAAAATAAACTTGATTTCGAACTTTTCCATGGATATAAAGACCTTGCTGGACAATCTTCATGATGAAGTATCTTGTTCTGTGTGTATGTGTCCATTCACTGATCCAAAGCAGTTGCCTTGTTTGCACAGTTTCTGTCTTCATTGCCTGAACGGAATTCAACGAACGAGCGGCGTCCGTGGTAAAATTACGTGCCCTGAGTGCAGAAGACAGTTTCAGATTTCTGGAAGTGGAAATCCCAGCGAACTTCCCACCAATTTTCGAATAAACAGTTTGCTAGATGTCTTGGCAATAAAGGAGTGCAGTACAGTCAACGTGAAATGCAGAAACTGCGAGAAACGGAGCGCCAAGACCTTATATTGCTTCCAGTGTTGTTCATTCTGGTGTGAAGAATGTATTGTAGGACATAACATAATGCGAGAAAATAANATAAACTTGATTTCGAACTTTTCCATGGATATAAAGACCTTGCTGGACAATCTTCATGATGAAGTATCTTGTTCTGTGTGTATGTGTCCATTCACTGATCCAAAGCAGTTGCCTTGTTTGCACAGTTTCTGTCTTCATTGCCTGAACGGAATTCAACGAACGAGCGGCGTCCGTGGTAAAATTACGTGCCCTGAGTGCAGAAGACAGTTTCAGATTTCTGGAAGTGGAAATCCCAGCGAACTTCCCACCAATTTTCGAATAAACAGTTTGCTAGATGTCTTGGCAATAAAAGAGTGCAGTACAGTCAACGTGAAATGCAGAAACTGCGAGAAACGGAGCGCCAAGACCTTATATTGCTTCCAGTGTTGTTCATTCTGGTGTGAAGAATGTATTGTAGGACATAACATAATGCGAGAAAATAAAGACCACAGAACTCTAGCGTTGAAAGATTTTCAAGATCAAGACATCAAGGCTGTATTAGAGCGACCAGCATTTTGTCAAAAGAAACACCGTGAAAACAAAGAGTTGGAGCTCTTTTGCAAGGACTGTAAAGTTGCCATTTGTAGCACTTGTGCCATGACGCTTCATGAAGGTCATGGTAAGATGCCCTTGCAAGAAGCTACTGATGAGCGCAAAGCACAGATCAACTCCATGATTCGATCTTTAAAAGACAAAGCACTGGAAAAACAAAAGGAAGTAGAACAATTTAACCAAAAAAGCATCGCATTTCAATCGAAAGTAGCCGAGGTAAAAAGCCAAGTACAATCCTGTGTAGACCAAATTATTGCAATCATCGAAGCGAGGAAACAGGATGTTTTTGATGTGATTGATAATCAAGAGAAAAAGTCACTGGAATCTTTATCACATAAAAAAGACGAGCTGAACAAACAAGTAAAATTAATCGAATCAGCAATGGAACAAACTGAAACTCTGTTGAAACGAAGCTTTAGCACTGAAATCCTGGGATTCAGTGAAACATTTGATTCAATTCTACAGGAAGAGAGAACACAAGAAAACCGTGACACTGAATGTATCCCTAGGTTTAGTTTTACTAAAAGTGAAAAACTGATTAACCTGTTGAGCATGAGCGAGGGGATAGGTAATGTAGAATTTGTTTTTAGCAAAACTAAAGCGCAACAATTGGGAACTAAAGGTAAAGAAAGTAGTAAAGTAATTGCTGGGAATAAAGGAGCAAATGTTCATGACAGTCCTCTCGAGACTCAGGTACAAACCAGGCGCTTCAGATCTGTGCTGTCATTTGGACAAAAAGGTGAGTCTGTTGGAATGCTTAAAACTCCCTGGGCGGTGGCAGTGAATGATCAGGATGAAATTGCTGTGACTGAGCTCAGTAACCAGAGGGTTTCAGTGTTTAGTAGTGACGGTACCCACTTAAGATCGTTTGGTAGATGGGGTAAGAATAATGGTGCGTTCAAGTGCCCTAAAGGACTCGCTTTTGATAGTCATGGCAATATTGTAGTGGCGGACAGTAATAACCACAGGGTGCAAGTCTTTGATAGGAATGGTAACTTTCTTAGTAAGTTTGGTGAACATGGAAGTCTTGATCACCAGCTTAAAAGCCCTGAAGGTTTATCAATAAACGGCAACGGTGATATTATTGTTGCTGATACCAATAACAAATTAATCAAGGTATTCTCTTCTAGTGGGAGGTATTTACGTAAATTTGGTGGAGCAGGTTCTTTGGTCGAACCCTATCACTGTATCCAACACGGTCAATATTTTATAGTCTCAGACGAAGTTGATCATTCCATTAAAATGTTTAATCTGGAGGGAAAGTTTATTTCTAAATTTGGAAAACAGGGAAACAAGGATGGAGAGTTCAATAAGCCCCGTTATTTGTCAGTCAACAAAGAAGGATTGCTAATGGTCTGTGATGCAGGAAATGCCAGAGTTCAGTTATTTGAACTGAGTGGAAAGTTTGTTACAAAGTTTGGAAGTGAAGGTAGTGAGAGAGGAGAGTTCAAGTTTCCAAGGTCTTTAGCAAATCTTAGTGATGGAAGGATAGTTGTATGTGAAATGAATAACAACCGAATCCAAGTGTTTGACAAGATATGATCTATGTTCTTACCAGTGGTATAATTATTGTTGAAAAGTTCAAATTGGTTATCAAGAATATGAATCCTTAACTTTTGGAACAGCACCATCTTGTGAGGTATTTGTCACCGTTGACCTTTTCTATTTGTCGTTGGGAGGGGGGGGGCGGTCGAAGGGGGGGGGCATTAGGTTACCCTCACATAAAGTTTGTCTTTTCTGTGAACGTAGCAATAAATTACAAAATCGTGGCTGTAATAACAGCTGAAATGACACTCAACTTGTAAGTATATTTTCAAATGTATTGTAGTCTCATTTAACTACCGATTGTAGTTTAATAAGGTGGTTCACTTTTTTGGTATCAATTACTTTTTTATGTTGTACACCTCTTCATTTTCTTTCCAGCAGTTGCTAGTTGTTAGCTGGTGTATGTCTGGAAATATTATTCCCGAGACCTTAGCTCAAGAACCATTTTTTTCTAAACAGGTCCGTTAATTATAACAAATTAACCGTATTGTATATTAACGATTTGTTGAAAACTCATTAAAGGATAATCAAAAATAAAGAATGCTTTTTTGTTCAAATTTTATCGTTGTCAATTAGACCGTCACCTGTTAAAGAATGCCACCACACTTTCTATGTCCAGTGATCATCTGAGTCACGTGTAGGTCAACTGAGCAGTTTGCAGGACAAGGCAACAGCACAGTGGAACCCATCTTTAAGGACACCCGCTCAATACAGACACCTCATTGTTTGTCCCTGGTGAAAATAGACCCTTAAATTTTCTCTGAATTCAACCCCCTTAATTCGGACACTTTCTATCCCTCCCCCCCCCCCCCCCCCCCCTCCCACGCTTTTTTTAACTGGCTTTTCTCCCTCCCCTTTCTTTTATTTTTTTTTATCCCCCTTTTTTTTTTCCTTTCTTGGCCCTTCCTTTTCCTGGTTTTTACGCCTCTCCCCGCGGCGCTCACATTTATTTTTTTATATTTTTTCTTTTT